TATTGTACACTGATTTCCATACTGGTTGCAATAGGAGAATTCTTCAGAAATTAGCCCCGAGTGATGTTTGTAAAACTAGAGTGGTTGGAAGCAAAAAGTGTTGGGAGCAATGCATCAATGGTCTCTTAGAAGACTATCAGAAGGCGGAAGACTGTTTGCTTAAATCAATGACCAGTTGTGGATTTAAGAGAAAAAAATGCAGATAACAATAAGGGATCCACAACACTGTCAGATATTGCCTTTCCATCTAATAAGGTAAGGGTTTTAGAATAGTTACTAAATTGCATAATTTTTTTTGCATTGCTGGTAAATGTCAAAACGATGTAGGGGAGCAGATGGGAGTAAAAGCCATTTCTTAATGTGATATGGAGCTGGCCAGAAGAATAAATACAAGTACATAAAAATGCTTTAGATTTAGATATTATAGATATATAATATATATACATATATAATATATATGTATATACTATATATATAATATATACAAACAAAAGTATGTGACAGAAACAAGTTGTCTAATTCATTTTCAAAAGAAATTATGTCCAAATAACTATGGAAATTAAAAAAAAATTATATAAAACCTGCATACCATTGTAGTTTTCTAAAATAAATTTCAACCCAGCCACTTACATATATCTAAGAATTACAACCTCAAGAATATAACAATTTAGATTTAGTAAAGAACATAGCCTAAACTTTTTACTTGAATATGCCTATTCAAAACTTTTAACAGATCAGGGCATTAACCTATGTCTATATCAATGTGAATGAAAGAGAGATGTAAATTAATTTACAAAGCATACTCCTGAAAGAGAAATAAGGGCAAGTAGTAAGAGCAGAGAGCGTAGACAGTCAACCTGTACAATGTATTGTGCGCCCTTATTAATTTACAGCAGAATATTTCCCAAAGATAATCATATTTCTAAAGGATATCAAATTTTCTAGTGTAACTCATGAACATGCATTATTAAAATGAAATTTTAATAATGCATTATTAAAATAAAATTTTGAAAACATAATAGAAGTTGCAAAAATGATTTAAACATGGAATAATATAGAAGCAAGTTATTCTATTGCCACAAAAAAGGAAGGTGGAATTATTTGTAATTGAAAAGTTAGAACTGGCCGTTTAACAAGTTCTCAGTAACAGTCTTTTTACAGAAATATCATAACATTTTCATGTTTAAAATCAATTTTTTATACCTCATTTAAAGAAAAATATGTATATACATTATTTTCTTTACATTTACATTTATATTTAAGTGTACTGCTATAGTTGATTATAAAAATTAAATTTGTTGCACATAATATTCTATAGACATAAATTATAATAAAAACAAATATATCATTGCAGAGAAAAATAATTAGAATTTATTTGTGTACTGCAATATTCCTGAAAATATATAAGCATCATAATTCATTAAATTTTAATTTTGCAAGTTCAGCTAATAAACATATCACTTCACCTTTAATTTATGACATCTAACACTAATATATAATATTAATAGATAAGTAGACATTAATTTGTATCTCTTGAATAAATAACTGTTGGTCCATGAGAACAAAACATTACTTTACTTAATTTAGTTTTCTGTCCATCGGTTTCCCAGGAATTATTGGTGCCCACAGCATATTGAATATTTAAAACTCATGAATGAATTTGTCCTATGAAACTTATGCTTCCTTCTATGTTAATATATTGGTTCCTAAAGCCTATTTACCAGATTAATGTCATAGTTACATAATTTAATTTGATATGATTAAATATGGTTCATATCAGTGCAAAGCAGAGGGCAGGCTTTGTATGAAATCAGTGTTGAATGTATCAGACACAAAGCCATGGACCATGCAAAAACAGTTCTCAAATAAGTAAAGTCATTAAGATGTAATTCTAAAACACTGGGATATTTTTGTAAAGTTCAAATAATATTCTACCCCCCAGGGTACTTTGCAAATGTCTTTTAACTTCTTGCTCTATTTCAAATGACCAAATTAGGAAGTCATGTTTTCCAAGTCATTGAACACAAAAAATTATGTATTTGTACTTCAAAGTATGTCCCTGTGGGTAAGGAAGATTAGTGTTAAAAACTCAATCAATATAAGGCAGGAAATATTTCATCATAATTAAAACTTTTAAATTACAAATGTTTATCTCACAGCATATGATATTAAATGAAAGACTTAGTGGTCTAAATGTCATATTTAATTCTTTTTCTATCTGAGATATTGTGATATAGTTTATCCATACTATTTCATCTGGCTCTTAATGATAAGAACTTTTTCAAGTAAATAATCATCATAATATATTCAGGTTGTAATCATGATCAAGTTCACATTTTAGAGCCACAGTCAAATCAAGTTTGAGCAGGAAAAAAAATTCAAATAGAAACACTTGCACATTTATTTCTGACTCATTACATACCAACCATAAAATAACTGCAGCTCGGGTAAAATATTCAGAGAAAGAAAGAGGACAATGAAATACTAAATTCAAATAGATGCAGTAAATCAAACACATAATGATTACGTGTCAGGGACTCTCTCTTACATCTCTACATATAGTCTCTAGAATTAATAAATATTACAAGGAAGTAACATCAGGCCTCAATTATGGAAAAGTAAAAGACAAAAATAAAACATAATATGTTGAAATTTAAAATGGAATATTACCATATGATAGTATAACATGAAAGTTGAAAGGCAATAGTATGAAGGAATACAACAGTAGTTCCCAGTCATATAAAATAAAAATCATGGGGAGTTTTTGCGTGTCTATACCCAGAGCCCATCCCATCCCAAACAAATTAAAGCATTATCTCTAGAGCCTCATTTGGCATTCAAGTACAAAATATGTAACCTTTCTACTTTCCCATCTCAACTTGCCCATGCATGTTTATGTGCACATGTGCACAAGTACACACACACACACACACACACACACACACGCACACGCACACACACATACACACGCTTTTATGAGCAATGCTCATTCCTAAGTAATTCACCATTGTTTAGTCCACTTGCTAAGCATTGGGTGACAGAAAAGAGTTTAAAATAATTTACTGTTGTCTTCCTTAGGGGATTTATATTGTAGCTATCCTGCTTAGTTGTAAAACAGTACAGTCTTTTACAGATCGTGCTCGCTGAAAGTGAATTGTACAATATACACAAAGTGACAAATATACCCATGGTATAATATGGATTTCTGTGTTGGAGAATGACTCCTGGTTCTTACTGAAGCTTGACAGTACAATCAAAATAGACTTTGCCTGAAGTAACAAGACAAAAACCTTCATTCTGTTTTTTTCAATTTCAGGAGTGATTACTTCTCAAATAAACTTAAACAGAGTTATATTTTGATTTTTCTGGCAAAATGAATTTCAAATGATTCATAAATTCTTGGATTTTTAAAAAGAGAGATTTAAATATTTTTTACACTCCCTTTTTTAAAACAGGAAAATAGAAGATACTACAAAAATAGTTACAGAAAACAATTTTTCTAACATACTTATAAATCAACCCTATTTTTCTATAATTCCTCCTCTTTTCACTTGAATTTTCACATGCACAATTTTAAAATTCTATCCTGAGCATTTCCAGAAAAACTGATGATCTTTGAATGTAAACACTAGTAAAATATTTCAGATTGGTCACTATGTGTAACGAGCTATAATTCAAAAGTTATATCCTGGTAATACCTTTTAACTAAGGTCTTTAGAAAGTCTTTTTGACCATATGATGCCCAGCTCCCACACCTAGTTTAAGTTATATTATGATGATATCACTTATAATTTCATCTCTGCAACCGAGCTGTTGGAAGGAAGAAAGTCAGGATATGCAAAACATGAATGAAGAAGGCCTGCAGACAGGATTTGTGCTCCACCCTGGATATGTGCTCCCATACTCAAGACTAGTAATATCTGGCTTCTTCTGGCTAGCCTTTGTGTCAAGGATACTCTGGAAAGAAACTAAAATGTCAATAGGGGACATAGAATTGGTAGTTCATCATTACTCTGAAAAAAACTACACAGACTCAAAAGTTATTCACACTATTTAATCATGAGTTTCATTCTTTATTGACAAAGACTAGTGACTCAAGAGCCAGACAATTCTGTGTCTCCTGCATCAACCTTCTTTCCCATTTTCTGTACCCAGCCCTGAGGTTTTCAGGTAAGAGGTTGTGAGCTTATACTGCTTTCTGTGACATAATAAAAGAAAATTTAACAATGCCTTAGGTGAAATTTTTTAAAACTCCTAAATATTTTACCAATATGTGATGCCAAGTAAAAAGGCAGAATAATATAATAAAAAATACCTGAAACATTATTCTATACCACTTCAAAGTTCCAAATGCAACAAAGATATATATATATATAAACTTTAGCAGAGATAGTAAAAGGAGAGATGATTCCAAATCTTACCTTTGATGTCAAATAAATGTGTTATATTTGTAGGCTTGCTATAAACATCTGATAGTATTTTCATCTGGTAAAAGGGTTTTGTTTCATTTTTTTGGAGGTGAAAATGAGATGATATAGGAGATGACACGAAAGTTTAAAAAAGTAAAAAGCATTCATTGCTTTTATAAAAATAACTTTATCTAATGCTAACATGTCTGACATCTTCCACAGAAGGAACAAAAGAAATCTTAGTTTTACAAGGTTCCTTTTTTTAAATTGGTACCAGGGATCAAACTCACTACTGCCTGATTGCAAGGCAGGCACTTATGCTGTTGAGCTAAATTTCCAGCCCAAGAAATCTTAGTTTTAATATAAAAAAAAAAAAATAAGAGTGTTCTCAATTTTAGAGGTTCACATTTTAACAACTGCCATAGAAGAAATGCACATGGAAGCATATTCCTATCCAGTAGAATTTTTCATTTTATTTTAAAACTCAAATAAATAAGTTACATGGCCAACCACATTGAAGAAGTGATCATTTTAACTGCTTTTAATGAACACACGTTACTTATTTTATGCCGAATGAATGTTTTTCTCTACCTGAGAAGAGTAGGAGTGACCGTCGGAACCGCACACAGGGCTGGTGGAGACCATGGGGCACAGGCTGCAGCTGGGGGCTGCAAGGGCTCTCCACTGCTTGTGGCCTACTCCTGCGTCTTTCATACTGTCAAAAACAAAGCAAAACAAAAGATGAGAGAGAAAAGCCACCACGCTTCATGCATTTAAAAAACATCCATGCATAGTGCCACAACTTTTCTTTCGTGTAACATCAACTCTTTACTATTAACTAGAATCAGAAATCTCTATTCTCATTTGAAGTACATTCATCTATACATGGTTCATCAAAATTTTGGTTTCATATCTCTACGTTTGCTTCTCATAAAACAAGAATGTATTCCTTCAGATTTTTTATAATCGCATACAGACTGTGGTCAGATTTTATTTTGTGGATCATTTGTTTTTAATTCATAGCTGTGAAATGCCTTTTTGAAAGCCTCCAAAAGAGCAGTAATACTTGTCCAGTAAAAAAGAACTCACACATCTGGTACTTTCTATAAGCTACCCTGAAATTCCCATATAAACAATATGAAAAAAAAAAAAAAATCCCACCTAATTCACTAGGTGCTTAAAGAGATGAGCAGCTTAATTTTGAAGGAAACAGCAATAAAGATTATGATTTCTCAGTACCTATTAGTATTTTAGCATCAAATTATCAAGTTCAGTGATAACATCCCATTCTACTGTATAGTCATATCTCAAAATGGATTTTCTAGGCTTAGATCTAAAATGAATTAGGAAAATCATTTATTTTCTCCTTCCTAAATTTAAAATAATTTGTTTCTACACTTCATTAAAATTCTTTATTTCTCTACTTGTGTGGAAAATTTAAACAGGACTAGGAAAAGGTTAGAAAAGAAGAAAGAAAGCCATAGGCAATCTAGAGCAGAACATTTAATATTTAGAATAACTCAGAACTCATTCATGATATTTCTCTATGAGGAGAGTAATTGGATGCCTTGTCAGGATCAGAAAATATGTTTTGCTAGAAACAATTCTTTTCACAAAACCTTGAACCTACAGAAAACATGATTCCAAAATACTAATTAGTATTGCAAAGATTTTCATTACAGGAAAAGAAATTCAAACATTTATTTTAAATTCGATAAAATGTAGATGAGAATTGAGGTGTATCTCTCTGTCTCTCTTTTTCTCTCTTTCCCTTTGTCTCTCTCTCTGTCTTTCTCGATCTCTTTCTTATAAAAACAATTTTTATAAATAATTTCAGAGTTACAGTGGCATTTTCTTCATTTTAGTTTTGTGAAATACACAAATAGGCCACTTTACAAACTTGTTGGGCCTAATGACTCATCTCACAATGTACACAGTGGGACAAATTACCTGTAGTGTTAATCCTAATTGAGTAATTGGCATATGACACTAAAACACCTGGAATATTATTCTATACCACTTCAGTATTGATAAGTTCCAGAAATGCAGCAGAGATGTAAAAAATAGCCCTGTGCTTTCAATTGTGTAATAAAAACAAGGCAGAAAAAATAAACAACTTTTGCTCATTAAAAAATTTAAGAAGGATATTACTAAGTTTGTGTTTCTAAACCAGGAAAAGTATTTACTCCAAATTGTATCACTTAAATAATTCTACAAATTCACAAATGTTTAACAAGGCACTAATATGCATCAAAGGAAATACAGAAATATGACATGAATGACATTTACTTTTAAAAACAAAGTGAGTATACTTGAGGAGCCAAAGCCTGTGTGTATGAAAAGTAAGCTAACATATTAACATGGCAGATACTTGGGCAAACTGTTTCCCTAAAAGGACTAAGGGGCTTTAAGTCACTCTGATATTTCTAATGTAGTTGGTCCAGACTCAATCACCAGTGCAGCCATGGGAAGCTATGCAGATTGTACACATTGCTGATCCTGTACAGTGCACTCTTAGCCTTTGAAGCACTCCGCTGCCCATGTGAAGGCCATATCTCTGTTCACCATGGAAGAGATCTTTGAATTTCCAGCGTTCTTTTAATGAAAATTATCTTATGACTCAAAATTTTCTTGGTCTGGCATTGCCAAAGCTAGAGAGTTATGTGTTATTCTGAAATTTATCAATTGAAATATTTTTGTTCTAATAAAAATTAGTGGACTAGATTAACTACAATGGTAAATTTCTTAAGATTTCATTTAATATTTGCATTTTATTTATATAAATGTATAATACAATAGAATAGATATTGCAGTTGAGTGCATCTTTTGTTTTGGTTCGTTTTCTAATATATTTTGAAGGGCTTACTTTAGGGAGAATGATGTGTTTTTCAGAGGGAGATATGTCAAGGAAAAATCTTACAGGCTCAGATTACAAAAACTGTGCTTAATAAAAGGTAGCTCTGGCTATTATCATGGTTACCTGGCCACTGTGAGGGGGAAATGACAGGTGAAATGGTAGGCCTTAGTCCACATACTGTTCTGCATATCACAGGTGTAGAAATGATCTTTGCTATTTGAGAGTAAATCTAATTTTTGACATAGAAAAATTAATTTGCTATTATCTTGAATTATCATCAAGTAGAATATAAAATTTTTGCATTAACTAGATTAAATAATGTGACTAAAAATATCAGAAAAATAGCTCTCCCAACAACAATTTTGAAATATAGTCCTTTATGAAAGCAACTCTTCAAACAAAATTTTGCTTGAGAATTTATGTTAACAATTTATCTACTTTGTAATGATATGGTAGGACCTCATATTTTCTCATAGAAAGTTAAAAACATGACTTTGTGAGCCCACGAAAATGAAACATTAAAAGTAAGGTATGATAAGTAGAGTCATTTTAGTTTTTTTCCCAGAATTTCCTTTTTTGATCTTTTCATACCAAGCACTAAGTTAGCTTCCTACAAGGATAATTGTTACTATATTTCTAAAAGCTGGAAAATTAAAATGATGAAGAAGAATTTATACTATTGCTAGTGTTCCTTTACAGGACTCATTCCCAGGGAGCTGAGTTAGATTGTCTCCTCATTACCTGAAATAATACCTTGTAGTTCTGATTCACTTTTCACTCTGGTGTGCTTTATTCTGTCTTCTGTAGAAATTTTTAGCACCAGTCTCCTGAAAACGCAACACTTTTTATTTCTCTGATAAGTATGATTTAAATGACCATTGCTTCTACTCAAAGTCTAGTTTTCTGTTTGGATAATTGTGTTCTGCATCTTAACAGCATAATAGGATTTAATTTCCATATTTTGGGAGTGTGCATCAATTTGATAAAGAGGCTAGATGATGTCGCTGAAGTAATTAATAAAGAAAAAATAACAGCCAACTTGATTTGTTTCATATTGGATCATATCATGAATTAGTACTGCCAAGTCAATAACTCCTCAGCTTCCTAATTTCATCATTTGTAAATGATAGGCTTCATTATTATGGATCATTTGATGCTGAACAATCCCTGAATCCATTAATTGTTAGCGAAATCACATAATAAAGCACACAACAGAAGTAAAAGCATACACAGTACATAGTGGCCCTACCTTACATCTTTAGAATTTGACTTAGTGTTACCAAGTAACTTAGTGTATTATTACAGGGTGAAGAATGAGTTGAGTGAGGCAAGAAATTACCATGAAAGCTCAGGATGTAAGGGCTGGCCATCTACACATAGCAAGACATAGAAAGAGTCCTATCATGTGATAACAAACAAGTGAGAAAATAAAACATGGTCTTATTTAAAGAGGAATGATTTGATGAAAGTACATTTAAAATTAAATATCTGAACTACAATTTTAAGATCAATAAATCATAAGGAATAATACAGAATAAGAGAGTATTTATTTTTCTAGAACCTTGTGTTCCCAAATTTGACTCCATATATTAGAAATTCTCAGTTCTCAAGGCCTTAGAATGCAAACACCACAAAACTTTTGATGATATTTTATATGCTCACATTAAAAGGGAATCATTAGTTTCTTAGGCTTATGGAGTCTGTTTTTTTCTACATGCGCCAATATTAATTCTCAAGCACAAATTTATTTTAATCTAATAAAACAGTGTATAAGTTATGCAAGCTGCGATGTGATCACAGTTGATGGCAACTTGAAATATTTCTTGTTGACTCAATATGCCTAACATTTTGCTTCTTTTATATAATTAAAATTCTTACAACATTGTGAGAAATTCTTTCTTATGACAGGACTGACAAAGTGTTTCCTTCTCATGTTGGCCCAAGCTCAGAAAACAAAGCCACCCTCATTCTTTTTGCTGCAGGTCTTAGGGAAGCACAGAGGCGCTGGCAGGACGCAGCAAATCTTCTTGCAAGAAGGACAGAAAATATGAAAAGTTGTACAGGAAGCTTTTCAAACTAGAGCAGTTATTTGCACTAAATGATTTCTGCACTCTGAGCCAACAATTTGAGCACTGTAATAAGGCAAAATAAACCAGGTATTGTAATTAAAAAAAATTCTGAGTAAAAATTTAAAAGAACAAATATAGTAATGTTAACAATATTACTATAAAACAATGGATATTTTAAAAATAATGGACATCACTTAATCTGCAATATGAATTAAAAAAATCTTTGTAGTACATATTTTATGAAGAACCATTTCTAGACATATTTTAAAATGCAGTGGAAAGTAGAAATAATTAATAAAATGTAACTTTGAAGCTATTTCTAAAATAAATTGAATATATTGTAATAACTGATTAATGATACATTTTCATCATTAAATATGCTTTCCAAACCAATTCCTAGGTAACAGTAATATTATCAAGAAATGAAAGTAAGTAGTGATTTAGAGTACGTGCTTTACAAAGGTAATAAAATTAAATATTGGTGTTTAAATAGAAGTAGGCAATTTACAAGGAGAATTATTTCCACTGAACTAATCTTAAAACAAGGTTTGCAGAATTATACTGCTGCTTAGAAAAAGTACAGTTCATTCTAGATTTATTTCAAAGATCTGTGTATCTCTTTCTGAGGACCTTGATATTATTCAAAACCTATGTTACATTAAGAGATTTGAATTATGCAAAGTTATAATATATTTTTGCATAATATGTTCTACTGAATAACCTTTTATAAATGATAAGGACATTTAGAATTATTGAGGACATTAAGAAACAATTTCACAATGTGAAACT